CGGCCCGCGTCCGCCCGAGCTCACCTCACCAACGAGGAGTCGCTCATGCCCGTTAGCCCCCTGAATAGTTTGGACAGTTGATCATGTCGGCGCCTTGTCTATTTTACAACACCATGCCATTGATACAAAAAGTTGTCACAAAGTGATTAATTCATCAGTTTGGGGATGTAGCTCAGTTTTGGTAGAGTGTTCGCTTTGCAATCTGCAAAATTGCGAAATGTCCGGGGATCGAAGCCCCGCTTCTCCACTTTTTTGCCTTTTCTTATTTTAGATATCCTGACATGGCAATATTCGCTGTTTTTTTTGGAGCAACCGGAATCAAGCCAAGGACAATCAATGCTCTAGTCAGTCAAACACCGTTGTAGCAGACAGTAAAAGTGAATGGAGGCTCACCTGAAAACTACATTTTTAGTCAACCAACCTTGCCATACACTATGCACTCTGCTTTTTTTCTGTCACCAGCTTTAAAAGCCCACTATAGTATTGTCATCTGTGTGTACTTTTTACTATTACTTCTACGTGATACTTGCCACTCTTGACATATTTGCCACATAAACTCGTCAGGCCTGCTTTGGTTTCCAAACATCCAAGTATTTAGAACCATCGTTGTATGATTACTATTCCATGGCTTTTATGATCTGTACTTTCCCTCGGTGTTTGTAGAGCATATTCTCCTACCAATGAATGTGCACGCTACCAACATGCACTAGGGCTAAATTTGTGTACAACGCTGGTAGCTCTCATGCCTCTATTACTTGTATGTTTTGTTCACAAGATAAGAAAAAATTGGGCATAGACTCTCGCAAAATGATTTAGCATTTTTGGCCAATTTATTGAGCTGAAGACAACTAATAAAAGGTGTTATAAAGATGAAATTGTACATAGTTTTTGCATGGATATGTCGTTTGTCGAGTAATAAAAAAGACCGACTCTACAAAAAGTATGCGCAAGATAAGCATTAGTATTGGGTGTGTACACTGTAAGTGCTATCGTTGCAGTTGGCGTGTCTCTGGTGGATGGCGTAGAAATTCAGTTGCATGACTAGTAGCTGACAGTACCGCAGTTTACCTTAAGGGAGCCAAATATGAATGCCCCACCAGTATTGTAGATTAGAGGTGTATCAATGTACAGGTGGATCTAAATACCAGTGGTGGAGCACAATCGCTCAGGGTTCCCAGCATCCTCCTTCACCAGTTACTAGTCTGCATCTTTCACTCGCTGCCATCTGCCATTCTATCATAGACACTCGTGCAATACTAGGCACCCACTAAAGGGATCTGTTGATATACGTAGCTTTGCCATACGTCTTAATGGCTAGACAATATATGAGAGTGGGAGAATAGAAGAAAGTGAGTAAAGAGGAGCAGTGCATTTTACACCAAATTTTCTAGACAGTTTGCCCCAACTAATTGTAATCTGCCATAGCGCCATTGGTGCTCAGTAAACGAGCTGCTTCATATATCACATATTCTGCCTGTCTTTTACAGTCTGGAAAGAAAGTTTTTTATTCAAATGAGAAGTTTTTTCATGCCTAATTTTTGCTGATTCTGATTTTATCCCTTTAAAAAGTAAGAAAAGGGCTTGTATGTTCAACCGAAGATACTTTTGGACAAAATTAGTCTCTGCATTTTTTGATCTTGTACATTCACTTTTTTTTATCATGTTTGAAGACAGGTCATGGCTAGCTTCGGCTCTACTGATGTGCGAGCTGAGCAATAGCTCACGCTCAGACGACTTGTGTAGCCTGTTGCTAGCGAGTACCGAGACTGGCGATTATGTGGTCCCTGACCTAAGCGTGCGTGAGCTTCGATGTGCTTTCTGTCCCATGACAACCCCTCCCTTTTCTGACGATCGCGACTTTATGTTAACCCACCTTGAATCTGACTGGCGTAGGGATCAAACAGGGTATATTGCCTGCTATGACAAACGTAAAGCCGCGCTTATTAGATCCAACCAGTGCGTTGTAGAAGACTTCATAAAGATTGAGTGTCATTTCAATAAGCTTTCACTGATTTATCAGCCAGGCTTTGTCCCGTTTGAAAGAGACGTCGTGCTGAGGACTGTAAATCTTCCAGCCTGTGTTCGCACTCTCGAACTCACAGCTGCTAAACGTCAGCAATATCAGTCTTATATACTTAACCGGGAGCTCGGGCGCCGCAAGCTGAAAGAGGACGAATTGGTCGCCAGGAAAAAGGAACGAGAGGACAAGCTGGTCGCAAAGTGCAAGCTGAAAGAGGATGAATTGGTCGCCAGGCAAAAAAAGCAAGATGACGAACTGGTCACAAGGCGCAAGCGGAAAGAGCAGCGGGAGGAAGTTAGGGTTGCCAAGAGCAGACGGCGAGAAGATGCAATGGCGGCCAAGCAAAAGAAGTGGCAGGAAACTAGGGCTGCTTGGATAAATCACGGCGAGCCTGGGCTCATCGCTGTGCCTGGGCCTAACATCCAGAGTTCGATGGTTAGTGGAAGCCATTGTCCGTTCAATGAGCGTGGGTTTTACCCTCTTACTGAAGTGCCCACTGTGTTGCTATTTTTCGAGCATTGCCAGGTGGAGGGGCGGCCAAACATACTGCGCAAATAATGGGTGGTGGGAGCTGAATGAGGAATGTTTTTGATAGGCTGGACTTCTGGGCTTTATTCTGTACTCAATAAACTAGTTGGTTTTCATATTTAGGGTCGTGTTGTTCGAATTATCCCTGGCCATTGCTTGAATTTTCTCCAAACTCTCAGGTTGAACAGGCAATGCACTGATGCCTTTGTAATTTTTTTCGGTTAGAGTGAACTGCATGGACTGGTAGTAGATGCGTGACAGTAGTGAGTACCTAGTACAGAAGAGTTTTATAGTGACTTACTACCAAACAGTGCGTAGAGAGCTAAGGTGATGTTTGCCATTATACTGGTTCAATTTTCTTACATATGCGATATGCACTAATGGCTCATATTTAAGGCTTGGTATTCAGGTTTAAAGTATTATAGCTGCTAAACTCAAGTCACTTGCGGCATATACAGTCACCCCCACTCATGTCAAAGGCAATGTGGAAGGCCTTTAGACACCTGTCTTCGCCAACCCTATTGAACCAAACATCTTGTATAATCGCCATCGCTTCATTTAGTGTGGGAAAGGCACCAGTAACCAAAGCAAACTTCTTCAGGCACCTCTTAGAAAGGTACTTTAGCCGCTGGTTTATGCCCCGGTCCAACGGTTGGATAAGACTTGTCGCACGCTCAGGAAGGAATTCGATACGGACCTCGATTTTTTCAAGTGCAAGTCTACCTTTTTCTTGGACATGAGGGGGGCAGTTATCGAGAAGAAGCAACGGCTTAAAAGGCTTAGAATAGTACAAGTCGCACCAAACACCGAAGCCTTCAACCCAGACGACGAACAATTCGGTGGTCAGACGCCCGCAATCAGCGATACTAAAAGTGCTCGCGTCGCCAAGGGCCTCAGTTACAAGACCCTGATCATCCATGTGGAAAATGGGGAAAAGAGGAAGCATACGGCTGCCATCGCCATTACACGCCAAGACAAAGTGCACTGTAATTGCTTTGCTTTTTCCCTACACTTTTCGGGTATGTATTTATGCACGCACAGTTAACACAAGTATTAGTATGCACAAATTCCTTTTGAAATTTCCAAAGAGCAATAGCTGATAAAAACTTACAAGCACATTGAATGTAAGCGACATCTCGTCTACGTTGTACACATGGGACAGGTGCAGACCATCGAAGTTGACGCAGAAGTCAGTCCTCCATGCAGAAATTATTTCGGGTGAACGCCGCGGTGGTAATATTGAAGTATCAGTAACCCGGCTAATAACATCCCCCATAGACTTGTTGTAGATAGTATAGAACTCGTTAAGACGTTTCCGCCAGTACCTGCGTTTACGAATGCCACTTCCACGATTGATAAGTATCATGCGTAGCTCTTTTGTAATTGCTTTCCGCCTCACCTGTTTGCCATCTTTGTCCAATTTGTGGAAAAAAGCGGCCAACTCCTCATGTGCCTTGAGCCGGTATAGATTTTTATCCACTGTGACGTTGAAATAAGACAGAATGCTTGTAACTTCCTGCCGGGCCACGCTATACTCCGTAGACTTGCCATATAACTCGATATGGTATTCCCTAGCGCGAGTCAGTAGCTCGTCGACTATAATGTATCGGTCTGCCTGCTCCTTCGAGTACCAATCCGCGAGAGCCTTTCCTTGTGAATCAGTGAAGCTCCTGTGAGCAAGAGCCTCGATATCCATGGCAAGTGTATAAAAAAGAGAGGAAGTCAAAAAAAGTCTAGGCAAGAGTGTTGATGACAGCAGTTTGTAGGGGCACTCATTAATGGAGAATTTTTCGTGGCTCAATCGAAGCCTCAGCATGGCCTTTCGAGTCGAGCCGTAATGTGATGAGTTGCTGTTATCCTTGTGTTTGGTTGTAGCATGCTCTGCCATCAGTGAATATACTAGAGATAGGCCGAGAAAGGTCTGTCTCTACCTCTGAGCTACATCCCCTGGTTTGCACGAGTGGCCTAGTTTGAGCTAGGTCTAAAACTTGCTTATTTTTCGCTGGGGCTTTTTGTTGCCACTATCAGAGTAGTTTTTTTTTTATGCATGTCTTGCGTGATTTCATCAGCCAAACTGATTGAAACAAGTGAGAAAAGGCATGGCCAAAGACCATTCAACTCAATGTCTTGCATTAGCTAACAAATGGATTGCTACTAGGCACTCTGTCTCTGACACAAACACAACACATGCTTTGGCAGCATAGTACTTGATGTAGTTTTGCACCCTACTGGTGCCATCTGTATTCACTATACCTGACTGTATTAAGAGCTAATAAGCGATATAAGAATAATAGGGTGGAATGAACTACTGTTGAGAAGGGGTTGCTGGTCGTGGGCACTGCCTTTATAGGCAGCAGCAGTGGGTGTTTCAGGTACATGCCATTCCCATGATGCCACAGACCATGGCCATATTTGGTCATCACTACACCACTGTGGCTGTGGTGTAGTGAGGGCCCAAAATATAACACTTGAAACTGACTGACTGACATGGCTGTGCCTAGTGCAAAGAGTGAACTGAGAGAGTGAACAGAGAGAGTGAACTGATTTACTGTCATTGATGATTGAGTCGTTGTATTGGAGCCCTGTATGGGCACGAACTGAGGTCACTGACACTAGGACCAACCTAGTGCCTTAACTAGAAGCAGTATGCATTCTTTTGGTATTATCAACATCGTACATCCATACATTCATACATTCAT